GCTGTGGTGTACAAGGTACTAACCCTTTTTCCTGGGCTAATTTCGTAAAGTAAGACTTCTAGAGCTGCTGTTTATTCCACGAGCAAATAAAAAGTGTGGTATATAGTGCTTAAAGAGTTGGGATAGGAATAAGGAAATCCAAATTCCAACACGGGCATTGAGGTCACTCAGTCATCTTGGGACCAGTGTTCCCTATAAGATGAGTTAGTGTGAGCTAGCTCACAGTTTTTTAGCTTCCGGCTCACACATTTTTGTCTTGGCTCAGGAAGGATGGCTCCAAAGCACACTAATTTATGCAGTAGTCAAGTCGCTTGCTCATAACCTTAATGCCATTAGCTCACAAATTAGAATTTTTGCTCACAAGACTCCACAGCTTATAGGGAGCATTGCTTGGGACATATATTGTCTCTCAGCATAACTTAATCTCACAGGATTGTTGTCAGATTAAAATAAAGGAGTAGAGTACCATGTACAATGCTTTGAGCTCCTTGGAAGAAGACAAGATAAAACTTGTAAAAATGATACATGGGGGAAGGCGGGGAATGGGTTACAGTAGGGTTGCCAGTTCTGGGTTGGGAAATACCTGGAGATATGGGGTGGGGAGCCTGGGGAAGGTGGGGTTTGGGAAGGGGACAGATCTCAGTAGGGTATAATGCCACAGAGTCATCCTTCCAAAGCAGCCATTTTCTCCAGGGGAACTGATCTTGGTCATCTGGAGATCAAGTGTAATGGTGGGAGATTTCCAGGTGTCACTAGGAGTTTGGCAGCCCTAGTTACAGCCCTCCTGGCACACCTGTTGACCTCATTCCAAGTTGGGGCTCCATGGAAGAGTCATTCACAGATTTCCCGCCATCTCATCTAAAGAATCAATATCCAGGAATGAGTTTCAAGTGGAGACTGAGCAAGTCATTTGCAATTTGCTATACCACGAGGCATGATGGCCCTAGCCAATTATTTCATTTTCTGGTCATCAGCATCCCAAACGATAAATTTGCTAATCCTCTAGAGGGGAGGGGAGCTGTAAGCCAGGTAGGACCCAGAGGCAAGTAGCATGGCGAAGTCAGGCAAAGATCAGGTTCTCAAAGCAGCAGGTAATCTAAGGAAAGAAGCAGAAGCTAAATTTGGTAGGAGGCAAATTGTTTAGAATGAAGAGCAGGCCCGATGCTGAGGTTTTATAGAGCCAGGTGAAGCTGTGTTGGATCTGTGGGTCACCTGGTCAGATACTGCCTCAGCTGGTAGGGCTTGTTATGTCACCTGGGTGGCATCTCTGAGCTCAGTTATGGAGCAGATGTGTGAATAAACTCAAGCTCAGTTCAGATAAGACAGAATTGATGTTAGACGGGTTCTTGGCAAATTGGTTAGAAGGCAAAAGCTCTGTCCTGAGCAGGATTACACTCTCTTTGATGGACCAAGTTCACACTAGGCAGAGGGGCATTCTAGATTCTGCTTAACTCCTATGGGGCAGGGGTCCATCTTTCTGCTTGAAGTCATTTGGTAGGTCTACCCTTTTCTGGAAGACCATGTCTTTCAGTCACTAAGGTCCATGTCCTAGGGACCTCTAGATTATGATGATGTACTCTATGAAGACATTCCAAAACCTTCAGCTAGTGTAAAGTGTCATAGTTTGGTGGCATTTGACAAAACCATGGGCTGAACCCTTCGAGATCCACCCCACTAACAGCAGCTCATTTGTTGTGTGTGTGCGTGCCCCTTCTCTGATGCAGAAATCAGCTGGAACTGGAGGAAGGCACCGCCATTAGTGCGGCAGATGTGTGGGATCCAGCCTCATGTAACTCCAGTTCTTGAACAGCTGTCCTGGATATCGCTTTGTCTCTAGGTGAAATTCAAAGTGTTGGCTTTGGCCTTTAAAACTACATGCGATCTGGGTCTTGCATATAGGGCTGCCAGCATTAGGTTGGGAAAATCATGGAGATTTTGGGGATGGAGCCTGGGGAGGGCAGGGTTTGGGGAGAGTGAGGTATAATGCTGTAGACCAGGGGTGTCAAACTCATTTATTATGAGGGCCGGATCTGACATAAATGAGACCTCGTTGGGCCGGGCCACGTGTGTCATAAAAGGTAATGCCAGGTAGCGGAGATATAAACTTTATAAAGGATGCAAACACAAAGGTTGTTTTTTTTAACTTAAAGACATGCTTAAAACATTAGCTCTGTAAGCTGTAAAAGTGCTTTGGATTTATTGACATTCACCACAGAAATCTCATGTTCAGAGTTCTGAGTCTAGGGCCCAGATTAAAACATGAAATGGCTGAGTGGTTAAGAGAGTCTGGTGAAGCAAGCTATGATGCAGCAGCAGCAGCAGAACTGGAAGCAGGAGATGGCCAGTTCCTCTGCGGGCCTGATGGAAGCCCTCTGGGGGCCTGATCTGGCCCCCGGGTTGCATGTTTGACACCCCTGCTGTAGACTCCACCTTCCAAAGCAACCATTTTCTCCAGGGGAATTGATCTCTGTAACCTGGACACCAGCAGTAATTCCAGGAGGTCTCCAGCTACCACCTGGAAAATGGCATCCTGACCTACACATGTCAGGAGCCCCTGCTCCCATTTGATTGCCCACCTCAGGATTTAAGACCTGTTGAAAAGGACCTGCTGCAACCAATATCTTACAGAGAGGCTGAACTGGCAGGGCCTTCTCATTGCACCAGAGCTTTGGAAGACCTTTCAATACCTTTGTTTCAAAGACAATTAGCCAATTAGCCTTCAGTTAATATTTCTGTGGCCTGAGTTCCATGGGTTCGTTTTGAGTCACTAAGCTCTAGGTTCTATTCGTACTGAAATATAGCAAGAATCCAGCAATGTCTGGGGAACAGGTGAGCTAATTAGTTCCTTGGTGTAGACATGAAAGGTTCAAACTTTTGATCCTAGAATGCAGTGGTGTGGTAAAGACAGTGATTTCTTGACGCCCTCAGTATCAGGTACGTCTGTTGCTTCAGAACAAGGATCTGAGGTATCTATGTACCAGCACTAATATCCGCTGACCCAAGGATGGCCAAAGGTATAAATCTGGCACTTTGCTTTCTTAGTTCCTTGAATCGGTTACCACCAGGGGTCATTTCCTGCAGGAGCGCACAGGAGCGGAGCTTCAGCAGTAAAGAGCCCAGGGGGCAGGCACACGCAACAAGCCCCACCCTCTGCTCCCAGCAGCCCTCAGTCAGAGCAAGAATCAGCCAGGTAAGTTGCAGAGCCCCCCCCCCCCGTCCAAAACAGTCCAGTGGCACCTTTAAGACCAGGTTTTATTCAGGTACAAGCTCTCCCTCCTCTGCCAGGACAGATCTGTACATTACCCCCCCCCCAATACCCCTCCAGAACAGTCCAGTGGAGCCTGAGCAGTGAATGTTGCCTTCTGACACACTTCCGGTGATGTCAGGGGGTGTGGCATATGCAAATAAGTTATGCTAATGAGCTCCTGCACCTATTTTTCTGCGAAATGACCCCTGGTTACCACTATGACTGAAAGTGTATGGCCACCCTATTTTCAAACTAGGAACCAAGACTGGCCATTACATGGGAGCTGAAGAAGGAGAACCAGAGCAAATGGGATCGTGGGTGGGAGGAAAACAAAAACAGAGTCCCCAAGTAATGAGGACTGCAGGCATGCAGCTTCACGGAAAGCAGCTCTTTCCCCAGGTCATTCCATACAACTGAGGGCTGTATGTGAACGATGCAAAGCAGAGGTGGGGCAGATCACATGATAACCAAGTGACCCATCCACCCCTCATAGTGCACCATTCATACACTGTGCTCAGTTGCATGGAGCCGGGGCTTTTTTTGTGGAAAAAGCCCAGCAGGAACTCATTAGCATAATAGGCCACACCCAACAGCAGAAACTTATTAGCATATTAGGCCACACCCCTGACAGCACAGCTCATCGGCATTATAGGCCACACCCCCGTGTTACCAGAAGCGTGGTTATCCAGCCACACCCACCTTTTGCTTGTTATTCTGTTTACCTTGTTTGTTGTCAAAACCCAGGGCTTTTTTGTAGCAGGAACTCCTTTGCATGTTAGGCCACACACCTCTAATGTAGCCAATCCTAATGAGTTTCTGCTGCTGGGTGTGGCCTATTATGCTAATGTTCCTGCTGGGTGTGGCCAACTTGGGAGCCAGACGGAACTCCGTTCCTGTGTGTTCCTGCCCAAAAATAGCCCTGCATGGAGCTGTATCTTGAATAAACAGTTCCCAGGTAGCTTTGACTGATATGGAAGACTTTACTGAGAGAAATAGATCTGTGCATAATCAGAGGAAGTCAGAGCATATGTGGGAGGTGAGAGTTTCATGAGGAAATGAAGGAGGTGGGATCTGCCGAAGCAAGAGAGAGAAAGCAGAAGAGAGATGCAAGTGAAAACGAGCTGAGAAGAGCTGAGTTGTGTGTAATAATTCATAATAACCCACCAGATATTTGATTGTCGCATGCTCATTCATATGCATTTTAAAGGGCTGTAGTATTCAGTATTCCTAGGTTAACAGAAAGACCACTGATTTGGGAGTTTAAAAAATGAAGATACAGAAGGGAAAGGAGCATGTCTGCTGTGTTCTTTGCAAATAGCTGCAGAAGGCTAAATAAATTTTCCAGATATATATGCAATAACATTTCCACTTTCTATGCTGGGAAACATCTAAAGCTGATTTTTTTTTATCAGTCTGGTGATGTTGCTTGCTTGACATTTTTATTTTTGGTTCATGGGTACAAAGAAGGTATATTCTAAATAAGCAAAATTAGAATTTCATAGTAGCAAACATGTGTTCAGTATTCCAAATGAGATTTTTCAAGTTTCCGTTTAAGCCTCATGGTGTCGCTGCTCACCAATAACGAAGAGAACTGAAATATCCAGCAGACCAGCTCTGCTATTTTTTTCCCCAACCAGCAGAAAAAGCTGAGAAGACGCACTGTGAAACAGAGGGGCATTTGCTTAGGAAACATTTGAATGCAAGATTTGTGGAGCCAAGAAAATCATTTGTGCTATTATCGTGCTTAAGGAGAATGCCAAAAACTCAGAATTTGTGGAGCTACAAAGGAGAAATCCTGCAATGCCTTCTTATGGTATATGTTTGGAAGGCAGTTTCTGCACAGATCCGCTATTCCATTCCAGAGGAGATGCAGAAAGGATCTTTCGTGGGGGATGTTGCAAAAGATCTGGGAATGGACAGGAGACGACTTCCCAACCATGGACTCCGCATTGTCCCCACTATAGGTAGGATTCAGTATTTTGCTTTCAATATCCACAATGGCCATTTGCAAACCTCTGAGAGAATAGACCGAGAGGAAATCTGTGGCGAGGTAGAGAAATGCATCCTAAAGTTTCAGCTTATTATTGAAAGCAAATTAGAGCTTCTTGGAGTTGAGGTGGAAATTACAGATATAAATGATAATGCTCCCCAATTCATGCCAATGGAATGGAAATTGAAAATCAGTGAGACTGCTACCCTTGGAGACCGACTTCTTCTCCCCAAAGCTCAAGATCCAGATCTGGGTATAAATTCAATACAGAACTACCGACTTTCAGGCAGCAGCCATTTTTCTTTGGATGTGCAAATGGAAGAAAATGGCATTAAGCATGCAGAGCTGGTGTTGGAAAAAAATCTGGACAGGGAGGAACAAGCAGTTCATGACCTCATCCTCACAGCTACCGATGGGGGCGATCCAGTAAGATCCGGCAGTGCTCAAATCCAAGTTATAGTTCTAGATGCAAATGACAATGCACCAGTTTTCAACCAGTCAATCTATGAAGCAAGTGTCATGGAGAATATTCCTAAAGGGTCTACAGTCTGTACGGTACGAGCTACCGATCAGGATGAGGGAATCAACAGAGAGATCAAATACTCCTTTCAAAAAATCACAGATAAGTATTCCAAAAATTTTCTGCTGAATTCCACAACAGGAGAAATAATCCTAAAAGAGACCCTGGACTACGAAGCGTCATCCTTATACCAACTTGAGGTACAGGCCACTGACGGGGGAGGGCTGAGTGACACATCAAAAGTTGTGGTCTCTGTTATAGATCTGAATGATAACGCACCAGAATTAGCAGTGACCTTTGTAATCAGTTCAATCCCTGAGAACTCACCAGCTGGAACAGTTATTGCTATCTTAAACGTACAAGATAGAGATTCAGGACTCAGTGGGGAAATTAAATGCTTCATTCCCAACAACTTCCCTTTCCAACTGAAGAAATCAATAGACAGTTTTTACTCCTTAGTGACAGACAGAGCTCTTGACAGGGAACAGGTACCATCTTATAATATTACTGTTACAGCTACTGATCACGGGACTCCACCACTCCTTACATCTACTGTTATTTCACTCCAGGTGTTAGACACAAATGACAACCCACCCCTCTTTACAGAATCAAGCTATACATTTTATGTCATAGAAAATAATCTGAGAGGAGCTTTGATCTTCGCTTTAAAAGCCAGCGACCCCGACTGGGAAGAAAATGCCAGAATAACATATTCCATCGTGGAAGGAGTCATGAAAATCCCCCCTCCCTCTTCTTACTTATCTATTAATTCTGAATCAGGGGAAGTCTATGCACTGAATTCCTTTGATTATGAAGAATTCCGGGAGATTCCGTTCCTAATCAGGGCCCAAGATGGAGGCTCCCCACCACTCAGCTCCAATGTCTCAGTGACTGTCTTCATCCTTGATCAGAATGACAATGCTCCAGAAATCTTATACCCTTCCCCTCCCACTGATGGTTCCACAGGGATAGAGTTGGCCCCCCACTCTTCTGAGCCTGGATACCTGGTCACTAAAGTGGTGGCAGTGGATCGAGACTCTGGGCAGAATGCCTGGCTCTCCTATCAGCTACTCAAGGCCACAGAGCCAGGGCTCTTCTCCATAGGACTCCACACTGGGGAGATCAGGACAGCCCGTTTCTTTCTGGACAAGGATGCTCTCAAGCAAAGCCTGGTGGTTTTAGTGAAGGACAGTGGGCAGCCCCCTCTGTCTGCCTCAGTCACGGTCACTGTGGTGCTGGCCGACAGCATCCCTGAAAGCCTCTCTGATATTAGCAGCATCTCAGCTCCTGCAGACCCCCAGTCGGACCTCACCTTCTACCTGGTGGTTGCTGTGGCTTTTGTCTCCTGCTTGTTTTTCACCTTCCTCCTTGTTTTACTGGCCATCAGGTTGCACAGGTGGAGAACTTCTCAGCTGTGTCATTCAGGGAGTATGAATTTCAGTGGTGTTCCTGTCTCACAGTTTGTGGGGATTGATGGAGTCCGAGCCTTTCTTCACTCCTATTGCCAAGAGGTTTCTCTCACTGCAGACTCTAGGAAAAGCCAGTTCAACATTTCCAAGACAAATAATTCTGATACTCTGACTAATCCGTTGACTGGTGAAGTAAAAGATCCTATCCAAGCTGCTGAGGATTTAAATTTGAATAGTGGGGATCTGATCATAATCCAGGTGAGCTAAAAAAATTGTTTCACAAGATTTTCATTTTTTTCTCTCATATGTGTTAATTTCAATCACTATTTCCCATCAGTCTTTGCTCTTTGGTGATTAGCAAAATGATCTCATTATTATGTCTTTATCTAGCCTTTTCTTCATTCCTTTTGCATTTCTTGGGCTCTATTTTCTTTGACTTGTCACTGGATATTCAAAGGGGGACTTAAAAAAAAGGTTATTCCTTTTTATGTTGGGTATGTAAACATCCTCTAACTTTGTGAGGTGCTAAATCTATGTTAGGATTGTAGCAGTTTAGCCTGCAGGAATGGGTACTCAGTTGAGGTAACACTCTTATTTAAAAAAAAAAATCAGTATAAATATGAACATAAGACTAAAAACATAACTACCATATCTGAATAATAAATTATGAACAATAAAGAATATTATCTCAATTGAGTGCACATTCTACAAACTTTCTGACTGATGTTAGATTTCCCATATGGAGAATTAGAATTAGTCACCAACCTGAGGCAATCTAGCCCACAAATGCATTTCTAATTCAGTGACAGATTATGGTTTGATCCCCCCCCCCCAATCTATCAATGTGCACTTTAATTTTGGTAAGTTATATGGTAAAGCAGGCTGGTAAAGAAAACCTGTAGGCTAATACATTCGGTGAATTTAATTATCAGGATTTACCTTACAATGACTTCTCACATACTAGGCTCCCCCCACACACACACTTCCACTAACTGCCTTCATGTTTATATTCTCGTTATCACCCAGTAATCTGATCCTTATTGCCAAATATCAAAGTAATTATTCGATTGTGAGTAGGCACTTGCTCCTCTACCTCCCACTTTAAAAACTGTGTGCCCCAGATATTCCACAGAGAGGTCCATGCACATGGTGGTCTGATCTGCATGATTCTTCTCTCTCAAAACAAGTGGATAATTGTGTCTTCATAGGACCAGGTCTCCACATTGAATGCCTGTTCCCCATGTTGTCTTCTGTGCATGGTGTGGGAGAAGGACACACATACACCCAAACACGCAGGCACACACACTCCCCCTTATTGTTGTGTGAACTGGAGTTTACTGAATGTTCTATAGAAATGAAGGCAGCATTTTATCAGCTGAAACTTGTCCAGTTACAGTCATGTTACATTTTTTTCAGCACCTGGGATGGAAAGATTGCCTATCCCCTGATCTATGGGTACAAACGGACAGTAATGAATCCTTGTGGGTTTTTTTGAATTAATCAGTCAATTTTGATAACTGTTGATTATGCTATCTTGTTCAACTATTTGGAGCAATAGTTTGATGTGTGATGTGTTTGATGTATGATGTGATCCATTCTGTGATGATTTGGATCTTTAATGTCACACGAGTAGCAGAGTGATTCCACTGGGTGTTTCAGATCCTCAGCCTGGAGACTCTTCTGTAGAATACTCTAGGATCCATGCTATCACCTGTGCTGTAGAAAAGAGCAAGAGTCCAATGGCACCTTAAAAAGTAACAAAATTTGTGACGGGGTATGAGATTTCGTGAGTCATTTTTTCAGATACAGCTAGAATGTGAGTCCACCTGTCCTATATCTTGGAGAGTGGAGTGATTTCAGATGCTGGATGACGTTGGCAGGCAAATGACAATAGCAGGTGTGATTGAATTAGGTGTGGTATGCAGAGGGATAGTGGGAGTGGAGAAATCAGCATTGGTAATGAGACAGGAAACCTAGGCCTTGACTTAGTCCAGGAGGATGCATTCTCTTGAGTTTCGTTAGCAGTTGCAATTCAGCAGTCTCTCTTTCTAATCTCCCTTTGAATTTCCTTTGTAAGAGAACTGCTGTGCTGTTCAATATCTGCGCAGGTAATAGAGTTACGCTACACAAAATGGTTTTAGAAACTTGCTTGGATAAATGATAAAGGACTGTGGGCTATACTGTTGTATTTATCTTATTGTAAGTAGGATCCTATTTATGTAACTTCTGTATGTTAATACTTATGCTATACTTCAGTTTTTTCTGGTGGTTCCAGACTTCTAAAATTCTAATGCATTGGTTATTGAATGTCCCATTTTTGTGATTGTACTGGCTCAGTATGTGTAGTCCGCCTTGAGTCTCTGTGACAAAGGCAGACTATAATGTAAATAAATGTAAATAAATACATTTATAGATAATGTAAATAAATACATTTATAGATAAACAAATATAAGGTCAACAGTCGTGTTAGTCTGACCCGCAATCAACAGTCATACAACTTATAAGAATTGCTGTACATGTATTGTGCTCTGAAGCATTACAATATGATACACAACTTAATAGAATTTATAAACCAAGGTACAGCGTCGTCTCCAGATTATTTACCAACGTTTCCAAAAATGAATCTTCTATTTTAGTCGTGTGTGTCCAGATTTTTTTGTAATAAATACATTTATGACACGGATACATTATCCAGATATATTTGTCTTCAACTAAACTATGATGTGAGTCTTGTCATGGCCCAGAGCTTCAAAACCATGGCTGAATGATGAAGGGAAGCCATCTAAAATTTAATCTAGACAAGACGGGGTAGGGATGCTGGTGGTGGGAAAGTTGCTCTTATGGATGGATTTGAAGTTATGGGCAAAAAGCTGATTTTATGGGCTGATTTATCTACATTAGTTTAAAAGTCTGGACCTGGATTTGTTCCTTGAAGGTCAAGTTGGCACAGTTCCTAGGAGTGCTTTGTCTTTTATATCCAGTTAGGAAGTTTTCTGCTCTTTTAGGCTCAGTTGACTTAGATACTCCAATCCACGTTTCTATAGCATCTGGGAGGACTTCTGTAATGTGCTCTATGTGGGGCTGCTTTTGAAGGCAACCTGGAAACTTCAGTTGGTACAAAATGCCACAGCTCATTTGATAACAGCTTTGGTTACTCACGCAAGACAGATATGTGTGTGCATGTGTATATAGATATATTGATCTCCAGACTAAAATAGGCAATGGAGGGGAGGGTTTTAGTGTTCATGTACTCTTCTCCACACCAAAAATTCATTGTGGTGCAAGACATATATTTTAAAAACGGACTGAAAAGGACCCATAATTTGAAGCTTATGGGGTTAAATTTATCAGTAGAAACTTAAAAGTAGAAATTGTATATGATATCACTTTTATGTCTAATTTTTATTCAGAACTTAATCTTAAACAGATCTAAAGAGAGAAAGAATGCAGTGATCTGCAGTATAAAATGAAGACACTAGAAGCGAGTCATAATCTTAAAAATAAGGGCTGTCAAGTGGGGCTTTCAAGTCAAGAGATGAACAGAGCTGGTTTGCCATCACCCTCCTCAGCATAACAACCCAGGTCTTCCTGGGTGGTAAGGTAAAGATAAAGGTTCCCTTGCTCGAAAGCCAGTCGAATCCGACTCTAGGGTTGCGGTGCTCCTCTCCGTTTCAAAGCCGAAGAGCCAGCGCTGTCCGAAGATGTTTCTGTGGTCATGTGGCTGGCATGACTAAACACCAAGGCGCATGGAACACTGTGACCTTCCCACCTTCCCTATTTATCTACTTGCAATTTCTTGCTTTCGAACTGCTAGGTTGGCAGGAGCTGGAACTAGAGATGGGAGCTCACTCCGTCATGCGGCACCTGGGTCTCGAACTGCTGAACTACTGACCTTCCACAGCCTGCAGTTCAGCGTCTTAACCACTTGAGCCACCGCAGCTCCTTTCCTGGGTGGTGCCCCAGCCCAATAATAACAATGGCCAGTCCTGCTTAGTTTCCAAGCTCTGGAAAGCTTGGGCCAGTCTGGCCTTTATAATATTAGGAGGACTTATTATAAGGAGTAAAATAAGCAAGCAGTAAAGTAGCCTGCTGAGGAAACAGCACTGAAATGCATCCGGGAAAAGAAGGCACAGATACATATTTTGAATAATCCTCCCAATTGCTTTGTAGACATATAAGAAAAATTATCACCATGCAGTTCTTCATGTGGACTCGTGGTGTCACTGTTGGACAACAGGGGAGCATTACTGGAACACATTTACGGCTCCTGCAACTGGGTCCTTTTTATCTGATCGGAAAGGCAGCTTTGTTTTGAAAGCAGATCAAAAAGGGAATTTTCTTCATTTCCTAAGGATCAGCAAATGACTGCACTGCTAACATCTTACTGCTAAGAATTTGGGTACTTGAAAATCTGAGGGGGGAAATCCCAGGAAAGGCAATGAATGAAATGAGGGTGATGGAAAATAGAAATGCAAAGACGACGAGGGAGATAAAGAGGCAAGTACTCTTTCAGTTCATATTCTTGTCATTGTTCTGTCGAGTGCTGTCTCAGCCGATTCACTATTCAATTTTGGAGGAAACAGAAAAGGGTTCGCTTGTGGGGAATCTTGCAAAAGATTTGGGATTGGATGCTAAAGAGCTATCAAAACGCAAGCTTGGTATCTCTTCAGAAAAGCAGTATTTTACTCTTAATGAGCAAAATGGCAACCTGTATGTGAATGACAGGATAGACAGAGAAGAAATCTGTGGGAAATCACCCTCTTGTGTCCTAAAATTAGAAGCTGTGGTTCACAGCCCTTTGAATGTATTTCACATACAAGTTTTGATCAAAGACATTAACGATAATGCCCCACATTTCCAGAAAGAAAATATTGAACTTAAAGTGAGTGAATCAAGTCTGCCGGGGGCTCTGTTTGTCCTTGGAAATGCCGAAGACAAGGACATTGGAGTCAATTCTCTTCAGAACTATCACTTGAGCCCAACTCCTTATTTCAAACTAGAAGTTAAAGAGAGCAAGGATGGAGGCAAATATGCAGAATTAGTATTGCAGAAACAACTGGATAGGGAAAAAGAACATGCACTCCACTTGGTCTTTACGGCTCTGGATGGGGGAGATCCAATAAGATCCGGGATAGCAAACATACATGTTACTGTTACTGACATCAATGATAATCCACCTGTTTTTGACCAGGAAACTTACAAAGTAAGCCTGAAGGAGGATACACCCAGAGGAACTTCCATAGCTCAAGTTAAAGCATCTGACAATG